AGCGACTGCCCGCCTGCCTCAAAGGCTAAATTAAAAAATACTGACTAAGCCATTATCACTGTGGGAAGCTTTACTAGCAGGATTGCCTCGGTCGTTTCATAACCGTGCCATACGACTAGCGCTGTCACACGATGTTTTGGGGATCAAAGATCCCCGCATCGACAAGCCTCGAGATGGTACCCGATCTCGAGGACCGACGTCAAAAAAGAGATAAGCTCTAAGGAGCTACTCATATAAACCTGACCTCGAGGTGGTACCCTACCTCGAGGATTTCTGCTATTGCGAATATGGGTCATTGATCCGATTCTCTAGCCCTCGAGCTACTTGAGCCCGAGCCAATTTTCATTCAAAAACTACTAATAAAGCCTCAGGGCTATTTTTTTGCTTCCGGATCAAGTTAAACGTCCTCTCGGTTACTTTAACCCAGGGGCTATCCGAATCCAGGAGAACCCTCATCTGGGATCTATCTATAAGGCCTCAAGGCTGTCTTCGCTCTAAGTTCAAAATAAGTTTTCAGGTCGCCCGAGCTTGAGTGAATTCTCACTCGGGGATCGCTCTCTAAAGCCTAAAGGCTATCTTCATTCTCAGGCGTGCGAGCAAGTTCCCCCTCTAGGACTATCGACGGGGTCTGAAAGGCTAAGTTTTGTTCTATAAATTCGAAGCCCTAATCCCGCTTGGGGGTCCCGGCGGCCTAAGCTTGTATCAATTCAACCCGGACTCAGTCCGAGGAACGACAAAGAGCTCCACGAGATATCGTATTAACCAATCAGGAACCAGGGAAATACCTACACCCGGGCCCGGTATTCGGACCGATCGATAGAGTTATGCACTCAAATTCTTCACAAATGCAAATAAAGGAAAATCCAGCATAAATTAGAGACAAATTGAAGAAACATTTCTATATTAATAAATGACGGTTACAAAAACCCACGAAGGGTCCTTACAACAGAAACATAAGGGTAAAAAATAAAGTCTAAACTATTCTTGATGGTACATCTTCGAGAGCAACTTCTACGAGAACCATTCCCTCGAGGATCCCGTCTCGATCTTCCAAACGACGTCTTCGAGAATCCCCTCCGAAGCAGAAAACGATGGAGAAGCAGAAAAAGATGAAGAGGGGGCCGTGACTCGCCAAACAGCCAAAGCTCTTAGCAGGTCCTGCCGGCACAGCTACTTTGAATCCACTTCTTGGAACATTGTGTCGTGCAGGTTAGTAGCCGGTAGCGCCGCTTCACTCCACGGAAAGCAAAAGGGGTGAAGTGCGACACCAAGCTGAAGTAGGGAGGTGAGCAGCTGTGTGAAGTTCGAATATCCGCCGGAGCAGCAGTGTAAAGTTCGAATATCTTCCTGAGTAGGAAGAAATCCGACGCCCCTCCCCCTTCATCATCTCAAGCCAACAACGACAGAGCAACAACAACAACAATAGCAGGCCAGTGCGATCCCACTCAGTAGGGGAAAGCTCTGAGAAAGAGCCATAACACAACCTGCAAGAACACTGTTAGATGACCTTGCGGCCACAAGCTTTAAACATGGAAATAAAATTGGATGAAGATGAAGAGAAGTAAGGAGTCAAAGGCTATTGAAGAATGTCTGAATGAAGTTTTGATTCAAGAAAGCTTCCATTTAGATAAAGGAGGAAGCTTAACCAATAGCGCAATCAATGACTCTGGGAAATGTACCGACGGCATAATCAATGTCTTTGGAAAACGGATTGACAGGCGCAATCAATGCCTGTTGGGAAACGGATCGACGGCAATATTATCGCCTTGAGAAAGCAAACTGATGCCACATCAAATGTCCCTCGGAAAGGCGTATCGATGGGACGTATTAGTTATTGACGTCATAAGTATGACATCATCGCAAAAAGCTCGAGGGGATCGGTGTCAAAATAGTTTCTTATCATTTTATTCTAAGAAACGCGGGGACTATCTATGTACTGTAAAAATTAGAGGGCTCGATTTTGTGATCACTAGAGCGCCTCGGGAAGACCACCCCCGGAAGGCTCGAAGTCTAGCTCGAAGTTCGCCCCCAAGGGTTCATGATGATCGACCTCGAGGCAGTGCAAACCAACGGCTACGACGCACTAGCGGTAAGTTCCCAAGGCACGTGATTAAAAGCTGGCCTAGCCTACTGGGCTAGTTCTGGCCCGCGCAATAGCATTAAATGGCTATGGCAACTTCATGTCTTTTCAATAAATGCATCTTGTACCATGTTAAGATTCCCCCTCATCCATAAAGGGGACCCTTGTCATTTTGTAAAAGCATCTGATACGCAATATTGAATATACAAGAACATTCTCTCTGCTCTCTAACTCAACATATTCTCTTGATTTCACTGCTTATATTCATAGTGTTCTATTTATCGTTCTTTATTTATTGCTCATTATTGGTCATAAAAAGCTTCCATCAAGGCTGTCATAACTATTAATCCTCCATCATCTTAACCCAACTTATCTAGAAATTTACTTAGTTGCCCCAATTTTTTTTTATTTTTTTATTTTCAGTTTTCTGTTCTTTTGTTTTTCTGCACCACCCACCCATCCTACCCCATCCCCCCCTCCCGCCACCTAAAAAATAATATTTTACTTTTTTTTTTGTATTTTTAATTTTTTATTTTTTTTGTTTTTCTACACCACCCACCACCGCACAAACCCCTCAAGAAAAATTGTATTTTTAATTTTCTATTTTTTTTTTTTCTGCACCACCCACCCACCCTACCTCTACCCCCCCCCCCCCAAACCCCCTCAAAAGAAATTTTACTTTTTTTTTATTTTCAATTTTCTGTTTATTTATTTTTCTGCACCACCCACCCACCCTATCCCTCTACCCCCCTCCCCCACCCCACCCCCACCCCCACCCGCAAAATATTTTTCTAACTTACACATTTTAAGGTAAAAGATTTTTTAATGCAAGATGAGCATGGTTCTAAAACATGGGTCAAGTTGGCGGGTTGAGTTATGATTCATTGTTTAACCCATCCTGACCCAGCCCATCTTAGCCCAAGTACACTTTGGGGTGGGGGTTGGGCAATGACCTTTTTGTTGACCTAACCCATCTTGACCCGCCCAAATTCAGCCCAACCCACCCATTTGCCACCCCTAGTTGATTCCATATACGATTAACCTAGTTTACAAGTAATATATGAGCATTAATCCAAGCAACTTCTGATGATCAGCTTATGATCAAGCTAACGTAAGAAAGCAATTAATTTAGATGCATTCTACAAATGGAAATTAGTAGGAGCAAGCAAGTTATGCAAAAGAAAGGAAAAGAGGAAAACATTAGAAGTAGGCCAAAGAAGAAGAAGGAAGAGGAAGCAATCACCCACTGTTCTAGAATGGAATATGGAGAAAAATAATAAATTAAATTCAGATTTCTATAAGCAGTAATCCTCTTCTTTCTATTACCAGTTAAAGCTGCAGAAATTGAGTTTCTTTTTCTTGATATGACCTGACCTTAGCTTCCACCATTGTTTGCAGGCTGCTGGTGGAGTCCCTTTATACCCTCATCTCTCCTACCTAAGAACCATAGGTTTAGGGGATTCAAGTTTTTATTTTTAACAAAATAAGAAAATTTACGAAGGAAGTTCAACTTTTTATTACCTTAAATAAAAAAGACGTTGATGCTTTAGGTAGCTTAAGAATGTCCATGACGGTAGCTGCAAATTCCACCTGCTTTTCCTTTTAAATAAAATAGTGTGCCTACTATCTGAAAGTTTAACTTATATGATCCTGTAGGTTTTGTAAAACACTCAGGGTATTTATATTTTATAGGGGATTGTAATACATGATTTCAAGATAATAGGTACACTATTTTGAAAAAGCGGACTTACATTTTATATTTGACATGTTTAACTTTAGTCTCTTACCGTTAATCATTATACTTTTGAAATTATAGGTTCAAAATTATATTCTTTTTAAAATTTTAGTGATTTTCACGTATATATGTATACTCCATGCAGAAAACAAGATTGTCCGAAGTGGAATTTTAACCATCAATTTCATTCGTAGAATGCACCCAATAATTATTGCATTATAGGAGTCTTTGAGCATGGGTGCACGCACATAAATTTAAGTAATTTTGAAGAAATATAATATTATTATACGTGGTTTAGCAAGAGAAATATGGGTTCACGTGAACCCATATCCTAAGATCTGGATACGTCCCTAATTGTAATTAGGGATCTTTTATATTATTTCTTTTCTGTGACGAGTGGAAACTCTCTGTCTTTCCTTAGAAAATGTAGATTTGATCAAATCTTGTTAAATCTTTTGTTTATCATCTTTTCTAATTGTTTTGTATCTGATTGTATATTAGTTAACCACCGATATTGCTCAAACAATCTGGCTTCAAATTTATCTAAAGTTTGAATATGTATATGGTTGAAACATGAAAAAATGAATTTTCGAAGATGAGATAAAAAATAGTTTTTGAAATTGTGTTTGAACACGCATTTACTTGGAAAGAATTTAAAGTTTTGTGAGCCGAAAATTTAAAAAATTAGTCTAAAGCATTTTTTGGAGATTTGAGAATTTTATTTTCAAAATTTTCCATAAAATGGTTTAAATCTATAAACAAATAAATATTTAAAAATAAATTTTTTTTAAAAAAAGCTCTCAAATTTTACAGCCAAACGGGAGCTTAGGATAAAAAGGGGGGTGGGCAGGTTGGGCTGAAGAGAAATAGACAACAGTGCATTAACATATCAAATCATCTTTATCCCTCTTTCTAAACCTTACAAGGAGTACTTTTTATTTATTTTTTTGGGGTGCAAAAGCCTCTAATAAAAATTAAAACACATATTCTCTAGCTGCTAAGCTATAACTTTAACTCATTGGTACCACGACGAGTAGGAGAATAACCTTTTTGGGCTTTTCTTTTCTTTTCTTTGGTTCCCATTTTTTGAACTATCAATATTTTAGTCCAAACACACCTGACTCTACAGTACTGATCTGATGGCCACTATAAATATTGGCTTTTTGCAACTCTCTTCTCACCAAAATACAAATCGGTCGAACTCTTCATATATAATATTCCCACTAATATTACTCTTAACTTTAAATAGATTTCTTATATATGGGTTCAAAAATGTCTGATCCCCTTGTGATTGGTAGAGTGATTGGGGAAGTTGTTGATTATTTCACTCCAAGTGTTAAGATGTCTGTTACTTATAACAGCAGCAAGCATGTTTATAATGGGCATGAACTCTTTCCTTCCTCAGTCACCTCTAAACCTAGGGTTGAAGTTCAAGGAGGTGATTTGAGATCTTTCTTTACACTGGTACATACTACTTCCTTCGATTTCACTACTTTTATTAGGGGCGAAGCTAGAGTTCTAGTTACGGGTTCGTTGTATTGTGTTAAGAAGTCTCTTTTCTAGAATTTAGAATTCATAAACTCAAAATTATGGCTCTGCGCTTAAATTTATTTTTATACATTTCTATTATATATATCGTTTATATTGACCCCTTATTTTTCTTTTTTACCTTAATTGACAGATCATGATAGACCCAGATGTTCCTGGTCCTAGTGATCCATATCTCAGGGAACATCTACACTGGTAAAGAAATAAGTTTTTTTAATTACTAACTCATTCAATTTTATCGTCCCTTCTTTTCCTTGTTTACTTGGAGGGAAAATAATACGATCTCATCAAGAAGATAAAACTTCTTCAGGCTTGTTATCTAAAAACTTGTTCATAAATACCGTAATTAAAAGAACATATGAGTTTGTTATTAGGTATTTGACTAAATAGGATCGATCATATATATGGTGTTCGGACAAGAAATTTTTTGTGAAAAGGTCCGCATACTTTTCAAAAAAGAAAAATCTGCCTTGACTCTTGAGTTTGTGCTTCTCGGGAAAACAATTTCTTCCTTCTTTTCTTTTCTTTTTTTTTTTTTTTGGTTTGTTGACCTTTACATATTAAAGACACCACTGAGACACATATCTAAAAAAAATTGTATTTGGGAACGCAAAAGCAAAGAAAACATGTGTTATTAATCTTATGTCAATGCACCAGCAGCTCAGGAAAAATATGGTCGATATATTGTGATTTGCTTGCAAAAGGAGCAAAGAAGAAATCTTTTGATAATGTTTGTTATGACGATGAACTTAAAGCAAATAAGTTAGAGGTGGTTTGGTACATGGGATAAGAATAATAATTCCGGGATAAAGTTTAGGATTTACTTTTTCTCATGTTTGGTTTGGAGTATTAGCTAATTGCGAGATATCTTTCAAACTAAAATAGTGGGATTAGCTATCCCATATAGAAAGTAGGATAACTAATACCATGGGATATCCCACCCTATCGGATAGTAATAGTCCAATAGGAGACAACTATAATTTGTACAGACATAATGTCCAGTCACACCTTGTATTTAATTTTGTCATGACACATATTAAGCATGAATAATAATATTTCGACAATCTTGTAGCATTTGATTAGACTTAGCAAATTATAAATATGTCCAATAATTGGTCACATTGTTCTAATAATTACTTGTTTCCCTTATCATTATATATAGTGCTTCATTCACTAAACAGAACCCAAAAAAAAACACTGCAAAATGGTCATATCATGTAGTAACGGAAAAATAACGTACTCAGTTTTATGATAAAATCAAAGTGACATATTTGTACGCTTTGATAGTTGACAAATACCTGAAAAAAGAATTTGACCATCTTTACAGGATTGTCACAGACATTCCAGGCACTACAGATTGCTCGTTTGGTATGTATCTTTAACCCAAAGTTCAAGCTTCGAAATAGTAACAGCTTTTCTTTTTAATATTTTATTTGTCTTAAATACATATTTTCCTTATTATAAATTTATTCGCCTAGTGGTAACGGGATCAGGTATTGATTCGTATTTATTATTTATTGATCAACAAAAAAAGAGTACAAAAAGAAAGAATTGTTTTTCTACACTTAGATTTATATATATGCAATGTGTAGAAATAAGAAGATTAGAAATTAATGAGTTTACAAATTCATCGATGTGTATATCTCACAATCAAATCCAAAATACTGATCCAAAAATTTTGATCAGGGAGAGAAATAGTTGGGTATGAAATGCCAAGGCCAAATATTGGAATTCACAGGTTTGTATTTCTGCTGTTCAAGCAGAAGAAGAGGCAAACAGTATTGACTGCACCTCTCTCCAGGGATCGATTTAATACGCGTAAATTCTCAGAAGAAAATGAGCTTGGGTCTCCTGTTGCAGCAGTTTTCTTCAATTGCCAGAGGGAAACCGCTGCCAGAAGGCGTTGAAGAAGAAGAAGAATATGTGCGTTATATCATTACTGTTTATAATTGGTTATTATTGTTGTTCTCGTTACTCTGAAGTAAGATACTGAACCAAGGTATGCAGTGCATGTATTACTGATCTTACAAGAATCTCAGAGATATATGTAATGTTGGAGTGCCATGCTTGAATAAGACCCGTGGGTAAGAATGTACTTTCATGATCAAAGCGCGCAGCATGTAATATCATCATTGTAAATTAATGTTTGACCTAATTAATAGTATGTATGTGTGTTATGTACTTGTTTCTTACCATTTTATCTTTTTTTTTTTTTTTATAATGATTGTGTTGTGGTCAGTTGGCTCGTACCTTTACTATTCTGCTAAAATGGGGTGCCTATTACCTTTCATCCGTACAGATCGAGGCTTAAAATTAAAAGATAATTAAGAAGACTGAAGACATCACTAATATAGTGTCTTTTTCCTTTTGTTGAGATTTGAATCCTAGTCTCCCATGATTTTTTGCGACTTAGAAGATATTTGAACTCAGACATTGCACAATTGAAGGGGCGAAACCTCAAAAGTGATTAAAAAAACCCATGGTATGTCATTAGTTGTTTTGGTAATATCCGGTATTAATCCACCTGACTGTTGTCCTACACAGAGACTTGTGAAGGCATGTTTATTCACGACGTAAGTTCGAATTCATCATATATATAAACCATGCTCATGTAAAGATTATAAATTAAAACAAAAAATATTTTCTGCTTGATAAGTGATTAATTAATTATGCTCTTCGATCTCGTACTTCCAAAGAAATCATAGTAACATTTTAATGTGTCAACTAGATTATTTTTCTACTTTTCGAATGTCACCTGAATTTTCATCTATTCAAATCCCTAATCAAAATCGAGTGGGGCAATCATTATTTAGGAATAATTAGAGTCTGGGATCTACACAAATTCATTCCAACTAAAGAACATGCTTCACAAGCTTCGATTTGAATCAAACAATGTTAAAACCTCTGTTTTAAAAGGCAGAATTGGGACTCGCCCTGGGGCGGAGCACTCGTAAAACGCCCCTGGGCTTATGTGTGGGGCTTAGTTCCGTGAGACTTACGCCTCGGCTGTCAGGGCTTACGCCCCGGACACGCCCAACGCCTTACGTACTAGGCTCGCCTAATAGAACTTTATGCAATTGTGTGTAACTAACCTTGTAAATCCTCAAATTTTCTTAATAAATCATTAACTATTCAAAATTACTTTTTTCTTAATCTTAAATAATTAAGTTGAGAGTATTTTATGTCATAATTAAAATAAATTAATTGCACGTCATCCACTAAGATTGCTATGATAGTAAATTTTAAATAAAGCTTTTAATTAAAATTATTTATTTATTAACTTTTGTTATGTCTTTATTATATTAGTCCATAATATTTTTATAATTAATTTCCTAAATATTATTTTTCATGTTTACGAAATACAATACTTATTAATTTAATAGCTCAGTATTAGCTAGTATTTACAAATAATTAGTTATCATGATATATTATGGTGAATTATGTGTCACTTCATTAACTTGTTGAAACTTAACATAAATGATGCTAGAGAATCATATTTAAATTTTGAGCAATATTTTATATAAATTCTCTTTTAAGTAGAAAGCATATTAAATAAAAGGAGTATTTAAAAAAAAAATATCAGATTATAATATCGAAATTCTTTCAAGATTCATTACTCCTTAAGAGATACATATAAGATTTCGCATCGAATACGTACTTTTGATGTTTGAGTTGTAAAGATGTTGCAGCTAATTTGCATATTATGATATATGTCATACATTTTGTATTATTCATAGTTCAATTATAATTTATGAATATTTTAAATAGATTATTGTTATAATTTTGTGATTTTAATGTAATTTTTATAATTATTTTTATTTTATATTATTTTAAAATTCTTGAAATTAGTAAAATTTAAAGATCCGTGAGACTTATGCCCCATGTCTCAGGGCTTACGCCTCGCTTCGTCAGAGATAAAATGCCTCGCCTCATGCCCCGCCTTTTAAAACATCGGTTAAAACTAGCTATTCTTGTTTACATCAATATAAACCAAGTTTAAACTACTTGAACCAATCATTTCAATTAAAGGCTTATTAGTCTTGTTAGTCTGACGTGAACCCCCTAGTACTCTTCACAGCAGTATAAAATTTTATTGGGAAAAAACTGAATTTAAATATTGAAGATGACATGTCATGACACGTGGACCGGTCAAATAGTCAAAGCATGACAAACAGTTAGAAGACACGAGCAACAATAGATGCGGGAGAGAAGATACGAGCTACTATCCAGATGAAACGAGACTCGTACCTGTTCGAGCCATTTAAAGCTCGAAGATTAGAAGGAATTGAAGATATGAATCTGATAGCGTAAAAGAGTCCAAATTCAACATTAAATGCCAAATACGTTAGAGAATTTGTATTTAATAAGAATGACTGAATAACGTTTCTTTTAATGTCATTTACTGCTCGTAATTGTCTCATTAAGACAAAGATATTACACTTTCTCTTAGAATTGACTATAAAAGGAGAAAGTCACAACATTTGTAAGACACGAAATATCATTCCGATTATACTGAAATATACACTTATTCATTACTTTATTGTTGTTCACAAAATCTCTTATTTCTTGATTATCAGTAACCCGATTTCTCTATTAAATTCTAGCTTTAACCAAATATTCAGTTTTCTGGTTAAACAAATTGGTTCCGTTGCCGGGAGTCTGATAATCTATTCTCTTTAAGTTACATTTTATCTGTTATTATCACCATGTCGAACAACAACAACAACAATAACAGTGCGAATACCTTGGGAAACCATGAACATCAAGTCCATCAAAATCAAGGTGATTTACAAAACATTAACGTGGTTCCTCCCCCTCAAAATTCACCACGTCAATCTCGTGAAAGCACTCCTACTCCTGAATCTCGGGCTGTTGAACAAGAGCAATCTGAATATTTTGAAGGAGCGGATGACGCTTTACATAAAGTAATTGATGCACGGGTTAACAAAGCTCTTCAAACTCTTGTTAGTCGATTACCTGTTGCACGGCCCACACCTACGCCTAATAACAACACACTGGAGAATCCTCGTTCTGGCCTTATCAATTCTGGAAATGAAGGAACCCCCAGTGAGCCACAGGAAGGAGACCAGGTAATTCAAGTAATTCTCATTTGCAAAATTTAGTACTAACTTTGCAAAAACATCTTAAGGAACAAAATGAGCGCATCGAGCAAATCCCTGGTGTTCCTCCTGTGATCAAAGGAGTGGATGTGGATAAGTATTCGCAACAACCTTGGAAACCAAGTGCTGCGCCCCTTCCAATCCCTAAAAAGTTCAAAATGCCTGAAATCTCGAAATATGACGGCACAACAGACCCACGTGATCACGTAACTGCATTTACTACAGGTGTAAAAGGCAACGATTTGACCAAGCAAGAAATCGAATCCGTGTTGGTCAAAAAATTTGGAGAAACACTCACCAAGGGTGCATTAACCTGGTATTCTCTTTTACCTGAAAATTCTATAAACTCTTTTGCTGAGCTTGCAGATTCTTTTATTAAAGCGCACTCGGGAGCTCAAAAGGTTGAAAAAAGAATGGAAGACATTTTCAAAATTAAACAAGGGGACTCAGAGTTGCTCAGAGATTTTGTTGATAGATTCCAACGTGAAAGGATGACTTTACCCCGTGTACCTGATAATTGGGCTGCAATAGCTTTTACAAGCAACTTAAATGATAAAAGTTCAGAAGCCACGAGAAGACTTAAAGAAAGCCTTCGAGAGTTCCCTGCAACCACTTGGAATGACGTTTATAACAGGTACAGTACGAAGTTGCGAATTGAGGAAGATACCGTACCTCAGTTTCATCATGAAGAAAGAAGCAATTCCAGGAGGTCAGAAATCGAAAAAAGATCAGGTAAAAACAGGTACGATCCATATATGGGACCTGCAAGAAAAGACTCACGGTCAAAGGAGGATAATCAACGATATGATCAAAAATCGAGGAACAGGGAATCTGGTTCTTCATCAAGGTTCAGAATGACCGAAACAGACAAGAGTCACGAGATGATGACAGAGGTTAAAAGCGANGGTGGATATAATTTCAATGTCACTACCTCCGAGCTCGTAGCTGTTTTGAGGAGCATGGGAGATAAGGTACGGTGGCCGAAAGAGATGCGGTCAAATCCAAATAAGCGCAATCCAGATCATTGGTGCGAATTTCACAATGATCACGGGCATAAGACTTCGGAATGTAGATTCTTGCAAAGTGAAGTGGACCATCTATTGAAACAAGGGTATCTCACTGAGTTATTTAGTGAGAAAGGTAAGCAAGCCTACATGAAAAATAGGCAAGAACCACCAAAGCCCCCATCACCCAAGAGAACCGTGAATGTTATAAGTGGGGGAGAAGATATTTATGGAGTAACATATACGGCTTCAAATAAAGTTTCCAAAGTAACAATCACGCACGGGAAGCGAGTGCGACAGACCTTAGAAGATGAAAGTATCACTTTTGATGATACAGATACAGAAGGAGTGATCACCCCCCACAACGATGCACTGGTAATATCTTTACTTGTACATGACACTAATGTAAAACGAGTTTTGATTGATCCAGGAAGTTCCGTAAATATTATACTACTAAGGGTATTACGTGAAATGCAAGCTGAAGACAAAATGATACCAAAGGCGCATACCTTGTCCGGGTTCGACAATTCAAGTGTAGTAACAAAAGGAGAGGTAGTTCTAACAACTTTTGCTGCAGGTGTTGTTAAAGAAACTAAATTTCAGATAGTAGATATGGAAATGGCTTATAATATGATCATGGGGAGACCTTGGATCCATGATATGGATGATGTCCCATCAACCCTTCATCAAGTTATTAAATTCCCATCTCCATGGTGAATATGCAAAATCAGAGGCGATCAACAAACATCTAGAAGCATCAATTCCGTTGCAGATTCAATTGTTAATAGTGGAGACAAATAGCAATTACAGAATTTAGGTAAGGGTAACACAGAGTCAACCTCACCTGAGCAAAAGCAAATAGATGTGGATTCGAGACCTGACACCATTCAAGAACCGGAGGAGAACGAAATATCAAAACAACGATAGAAGAGCTAGAGGCCGTGGTGTTGTTTATACACTGGCCCGAGAGAAAAGTATACATAGGAGCTAATCTTAGCCCGGAGGTAAAACGTAAATTG